TCCCCCCCATCAGAGGCAGCAATGGGGAGGAGCATGGGAGTCTGCCACGATACAGCCTTTGTACTCAGCAAGCCTGGGCACAACATAGATGAATGCTGCTTCACGGCAGCCTCCTCTGTTCTACTCCTGTCCCTCCTCAGCAGCCTCTGTCCACGGGGAGCTTGGCCACCTTATGGACAGGGGCTGTTGCCACTCTGTGCTGCTTCCTCTGTATCAGAAGCAGCAGTTCAGGGTGGCAGGGGGCTCCCTGGTGAGGGGCCGGAGCGCACTGATGGCCAGCCCCACCCGGGGGACTCTAGAATAGTGCCCTAAACGCTAAACATTGCAGTATTCTGTTACCCGCTATGTACCAACCCTACAGTAAAAGGGCCCCGAGCTGAGGCAGCTGCTGCAGTAGCAGTGGGCAGGAGTCCTGGCAGCGTTCCCTGTGAGCTGTTTGGCCTCTCAGGAGAGATGGGCTTGGGAGTAAGGATGTTAAAATGCAATTATCTAACTAATCGTATAGTCGCGGCAACGAGTCAATAGGCGCCTCTGCGGAGCCTCAAGTGGGGGCAGCTCCAGGAGCCAGCTCGAGCTGGGACTGAGCAGTCCTGCCTCATGCTGGCTCGGGAGCCACCTGCGCTGCAACTTGGCATTTTAAATGCAGAGATGCAGCAATCAACATGAGCCAGCAGCCTGTTAGTGGTGGCCAGGGCTGTCCGCCACGACCGGGGGTTACTCGGCAGCAACAGCCCCTTTCCCCGGGTGGGGCAGCTCCCCACTGGGACCCTGCAGACAGGGGCTGCTTCACAGCAGCATCCCCTATCCCTCCTGCTGCTTCTGATAGAGACAGCGGGGAGGGGGCGGCACCCCAGAGACAGTGCTGGGGGGAACTGGTTTTTAAGCTAGTTCCCACCAGCATCGGCTTCTGTCCAACCCTCTGCCCAGTACTGCAGAGAGCATGGGACAGACAGGGACTGCCTGAGCCCCCGCTTGTCCCGTACGCCCTGTGGCGCTTCTGCTTTTGAAATACACATGAGCCCTACAGGGAAAGCAGTTGCTTATCGGATAGTTGACTAGTCGCTTACATCCCTAGTTGGAAGAGACCTTGGGAGTCATCAAGTCCAGCCCCCTGCCCAAGGCAGGACCAACCCAACTCAATCATCCCGGCCAGGGCTTTGTCAGGCCGAGACTTATAAACCTCTAGGGATGGAGACTCCACCCCCGCCCTAGGGAACCACCCCAGGACTTCCCCGCCCTCCTAGGGAAACAGTTGTTCCTAATATCCAACCTAGACCTCCCCCACTGTAACTTGAGCCCATTGATCCTTGTTCTCCATCCATCACTACTGAGAACAGCCTCTCTCCATCCTCTTTGGAACCTCCTTCAGGAAGTTAAAGGCTGCTCTCAAATCCCCCCTCACACTTCTCTTCTGCAAACTAAATAAGCCCAAATCCTTCAGCCTCTCCTTGTAGGTCATGTGCTCCCTAATTTTGGTTTCCCTCCACTGCACTCTCTGCAGTGATCCACATCCTTTCTGTAATGGGAGACCCAGAATTGGACCCAATACTCCAGATGTGGCCTCACCAGAGCTGACTGAATAATCACTTCTCTAGATCTGCTGGCAATGCTCCTCCTAATACACCCTAATATGCCATTCGCCTTCTTGGCTACAAGGGCTCCCTGTTGACTCATCTCCAGCTTCTCATCCACTGCAATCCCCAGGTCCTTTCAGCAGAACTGCTAGTTAGCCAGTCAGTCCCCAGCCTATAGCAATGCTTGGGGGTCTTCTGTCCCAAGTACAAGACTCTGCACTTGTTCTGTTGAACCTCATCAGATTTCTTTTGGCCCAATGTTCTAATTTGTGTAGGTCACTCTGGACCCGATCCCTGCCCTCCAACATATCTACCTCTCCCCTGCTACGTCTAAACTATACTCCTCGGTTGGCAGAGGGATGTAAATTAGACACATTGAACGTGCAAATGAAGCCAGGATTGAAATATCCCATGTCTCATGTGCATAATGGCGGCCGCTTTTGAGGAGTACAGGATCTTTTGAAATGGGGCATTTCTGTCAAAAATGCCCCGTCTAAATTGCCGAGGTTTTTTTTCGAAAAGCCCTGCTTTGAAAAAAAGTGTTAGCCGCCATTATGAGAATGAAGCGTGGGATATTTCAATCCCTGCTTCATTTGCATTTTTGATACATCTAATTTACATCCCTCTACCGACAGAGGGGTGTAGTTTAGATGTAGCCCTCCTAGCTTAGTGTCATCTGCAAACTTGCTGAGGGTGCAATCCATCCTTTTATCCATGTCATTAATAAAGATTTTAAGAACATAAGAATGGCCACACTGGGTTAGACTCCCGACAGTGGCCAGCACCAGGTGCCCCAGAGAGGGTGGACCAAAGACAATGATCAAGCAATTTGTCTCCTGCCATCCTGCTCCAGCCTTTGACAAACAGAGGCCAGAGGCACCATTCCTTACCCCCTGGCTAATAGCCTTTTATTGACCTTCCCTCCATGAATTTATCTAGCTCTTTTTTAAACTTCACAGCCTCCTCTGGCAAGGAGTTCCACAGGTTGGCTTTGCGCTGTGTGAAAAAGAACTTTCGCTTATTAGTTTTAAATCTGCTACCCATTAATTTCATTTGGTGTCCTCTAGTACTTATATTATGAGAACAAGTAAATAACTTTTCTTTATTCACCCTCTGCACACCACACATGATTTTATATATCTCTATCATATCCCCCCTCAGTCTCTTCTTTTCTAAATTGAAAAGTCCCAGTCTCTTTAGCCTCTCCTCATATGGGACCTGTTCCAAACCCCTCATCATTTTAGTTGCTCTTTTCTGAACCTATTCAAGATGTGGGCGTACTAAAACTTTATATGGGGGCAGTAAGATATTCTTCATCTTATTTTCTATCTCTTTTTAATCATTCCTAGCATCCTGTTGGCTTTTTTGACTGCCGCTGCACACTGCATGGATGTTTTCAGCGAACTATCCACAATAACACCAAGATCTCTTTCCTGTTGAACAAAACTGCCCCTTGGGACTCTCCACTTGAAACTGACTGCCAGCCAGACATCGAGCCGTTGATTACCACCCGTTCCTTGAGGGTTCCGTCCATGATTTTTCCAGGAACTGAAGTGCAGTTGACAAGTCTGTAGTTCCCTGGATTGTCCTTCTTTCCTTTTTTAAAGATTTCCTGTTTCCAATCTTCCGGGAACACCTCCAATTGCCACAAGTTTTCAAAGATGGCTCTGCAATCACATCAGCCAACTCCCACATTAGATCCGGCCCCTTGGAGCTGTGTATGTCCAGCTTTTCTAAGTAGTTTGTAAGCTGTTCTTTCTCCACCATGGGCTGGCCACCTCCTTCCCATCCTGCAGTGCCTAGTGCAGCAGTCTGGGAGTGGACCTTGGCTATGAAGAAAGAGTCAGAAAAAGCATTGAGTACTTCAGCTTTTCCCACATCGTCTGTCACTAGGCTACTGCCCTCATCCAGTAAGGGCCCCACCCCCTCTCTGATCACCCTCTTATTGCTAACATGCCTGTAGAGTCTGGCTGCTGCATCCCACCATACCTAGGAGGGGCTGGCAACCAGTTTGGAGTGATGGGACCGGCTGGTTGTGGAGCAGTGGGATGCCCAGCAGTGGTTGCACAACTTCAGCATGCGCAAGGCCACCTTCCTCATGCTCTGGGCCTCCCTCCCCCTGGACACCCACCCGCAACCTGCCATCCCCATCCAGAAGCGCATCACTATCGTCTCTGGAAGCTGGTCACCCCAGACAGCTACCGGTCGGTGGCCAACCTGTGTGGGGTGGGAATTCCACTGTCAGGGCCATTCTGATGCAGGTAAGGGGCTCGCAGGCTGCAGCCCCTGCCCAGGGCAGGGGAGGGGGACCCTCGGGTGAGGGGGGGGGTTATGGACTGTAGGGGGGGGAACAAGGCCTGGCCCTGGGGGCTGTTGCTGTCCCACCCTCACACAGCCCTGCTGCCGGGGGTGGAGCACATGCTTGTAGGCGGTGGCTGCTGGGGGGTGTGGGGGACGGGCACCTCCCAAGGGCTCACGTAACCCCTCGCTCATGCTCTTCGTCCCACCCTCACACAGCCCTGCTGCCGGGGGTGGAGCACATGCTTGTAGGCGGTGGCTGCTGGGGGGTGTGGGGGACGGGCACCTCCCAAGGGCTCACGTAACCCCTCGCTCATGCTCTTCTCTGTGTGTTTCTTTGTCTCCTTCTGCAGGTTGTCTGGGCCGTCAACTCTCTGCTGCTGCGCAGAGTTGTCCGGCTCCAAGATCTGTGTGTTTCTTTGTCTCCTTCTGCAGGTTGTCTGGGCCGTCAACTCTCTGCTGCTGCGCAGAGTTGTCCGGCTCCAAGATCTGGATGCAACCATGGGCGGATTTGCTGCTCTGGAGGTCCCCAGCTGAGCGGGAGCACTTCCCATCCAGGCCCTAGAACGTCCAGTGGCCCAGTTCATCAACCGTAAGAGCTACTTCTCCATACTTGGGGGAGGGAAAGCTCAGTGGTTTGAGCGTTGGCCTGCTAAACCCAGGGTTGTGAGTTCAATCCTTGAGGAGGCCATTTGGGGCAAAACTCTGTGCTGTCAAGGCAGGGGCTGGACTCAATGACCTCTCAAGGTCTCTTCCAGTTCTAGGAGATAGGCATCTCCATTCATTACTTAGGGGACTGGACTCGATGACTTCTCAAAGTCCCTTCTAGTCCTAGTATTCTCTGATAGCCCTGGTGGACCACCGGGGACACTTTAGAGACATTTCTGGGGTGGTTGGCAGGGCACACGATGCTTGAGCATTCAAGAATTCCAGGCTGTGCACCAAGCTGGAGAGGGGCACCTTTTTCCTCTGCCGAGACTTTGCGGTTGGTGACCAGAACATGCCAGTGAGCATAGTGGGGGATGCGGAATGCCCACTCATGCCCTGGCTAATGAAGCCCTACTCTGGCCACCTGGATCCCACCTCAGCCGAGCCCGGCTGCAGGTGCATTGTGCCTTCGGGCATCTCAAGGGATGGTTCTGCTGCCTCCTCACTTTCCTGGACACCGGGGAGCGCAATATCCCCGAGGTAGTGGCAGCGTGCTGTGTGCTCCACAATATTGTGGCGTGTAAGGGGAGGCTCCCGGGTTGGTGGCAGAGGCTAGCCACAAGGGCCATGCATTTCAGCAGCCCTGGACTGCTGCCACCTGCCAGGCCCATCAGTTGGGGGGTGCACATCTGGGAGGCCCTGAGGGAGAGGTTCTCTGTAATTGTCCCCAGGGCCTCCCCAACAGGGGCTTCTGCCTTTCCGCTCTCTCCCTGCCCCCTCTCGCCCCCTCCCCTTGACTCTTCCCTGACCTCCCAATAAACACACCTGTTTGGTTTGAAAACAAAATGAGCCTTTTTTTTAATTCAAGATCAAGAGCAGGGGGGCAGGGGCATGGGGGATGGCTGAACTGGGAGGAGGGATCAGGACTGGGAGGATTAGTGGGGCGGGCTGCTCTGCCACCTTGAGTGCGGGGATGTGTTCATGGATGGGTGGATTTAGGGACCTGAATGGGTTGGGCAGGAGGGGCATCTACAGCTGGGTCAGGGTTGGCAGGGGGGCAAGAGGAGGGGCCATGGCGATTGGGAAGGGAGGAGCAGACACATGGCATGGGGAGGGAGGAGAGGCATAGCAAGGTGGGCCGCTGAATGGGTGAGGGCCATAGGAGGGTGAAAGGCAGGAGCAGCGGCACCAGGCGGGTGGCCCCCCATGTGGGACAGGATGTTGCAATGCATCATTATCTCAGTCCACGCACGTGCCCACCATTCTAGGGCGGCACTGAAGCTGTGCGACAGGGTGGCATGAATCTGATGTGTTGCTGCATGAGCTCCTCCCCAGGCCTGGCCCGTTTGCGGCTCCCCCGAACTCTGGCAGGTGGCTGCGGCGGTGCTGTGGCTGGTCCCTCCAGCCCGGCTGTGAACACTGAAAAGGGAGAACGGTCAGTCCTCCCAGCACACACATTCCCTGAGGCCGTGCCCTCCTGTGTGAGCTGCGACCGCACCAGTCCACGGTCTGCAGGAAGGGGATGTCCTGGGTGCAAGGCCATGTGTGGCCGGCACAGCACACCCTGCGTTACAAGGGCCCTGATGGAGCCTGAGGCCCATGCTGCCCTCCCCTTCCCAGACACACACCATGGCCAGGCAGGCAAAGGAAGTGTCCGGCCACAGTGGAGCCCCTCATGGGCGGCAGAGGAGCTGTGAGCAGCCTGCCCCTCCCTGGGAGGTGCACACACAGCTGCGGCTCTCTGGGGGTATGTCTACACTACAGCGCTAATTCGAACTAACTTAGTTCAAATTAGTTAATTCGAACTAAGCTAATTCGAACTAGCGCATCTAGAACTAAAAACTAGTTCGAATTAGCGTTTTGCTAATTCGAACTAGCGCGTCCACACTGATTGGACGCAGGGGGGCATTTAAGGGCAGCTGAAACCGGTTCTGGCAGGGCATCAGGTCAGTAGTTGCTTTGTGTGGCTGCTGTCTGAGGCTCGAGCTTAAAGGGACCCCCTGGACAGCCGGTTCTCAGCTTTTCCTGCTTCCTTGCCTACCTCGCCGAGGGACAGCCAAGCGTCGGTCTCT